TTTTAACAAGAATCCAAAACCACTCTTATGAGAATAGGGTTGGAAAAAACAAGTTAAAAGTGCGAGCGCAGCGAGCACGTTTAGGTGCAACTAAAAGAAATATTTATTGATATCCTTGAGAAGCTATTTTATCAAAAACACATTTAGGTGTTATTCAAAATTACAAGTCGGATTTTTTTTTAAGAAGCAGGAAAAATCCCAGGAACCTAAAGTTGCTCGCTGTGCTCGCATTTTAAAGATGTTTCTTTTTTAACAAAATTTGGATTTTTAAAAGGGCAAATTTATACAATATTTTAATTGAAATTAAGCTAATCACGCATTTGACGAGGTGTTTAGTGATGTCTGATTGGCGTAGAGTCGGCCACGTGGTACTTTAACGCCATGTTAAACATTTAATTGAACTTCTGTGAATCGGGTCTAAACCGAAAAAAAATATTTGGAATGCGAGCGCAGAGAGCACGTGCAGGTGTTATTTAAAACAATTTTCCATTTTAAACATGTTTTAAGTTTCATGTTGTGAAAAAAAGTCTACATATATTAAAACAAAAAGGCAAAATGTAAGCCCGCCCACCCGCCCTATCTCAATTGTGACGATTTTTTTATTCGCTGTGAATCAAACGGGCGGAGTTTAACTGCAAAATACTTGAATACTTTACAAGAAATTAAAAACATGTTTTTGAGTATCGTGTTGTTCAAAGAAGACTATGCACATTAAAGAAAAAAGCACTAAATATAAATATAGCCTACCCACCCCATCCATATTGTGATGATTTTTTTTCTTAGAAACTTAAAACATGTGTACAGTGGTAAGAAAAAGTTGTGAGAAACTTCTCAAAAAAATTGAAGGAAACAGATTTTGAAATGTTAGTTCCAAAATAATTGTTCCCGAGAAGCTAAATTAAAAAATATATATTTCCCGTGTACGAAACCACTTTAAAGTTGGGGAAAGTATAGATTGAAAAATATAGAAAATTTAATAGAAGATCGCCTAAAAGAAAAAGGTCTGGGATTTCCACAAACTAAATCGAAAAATAAAACGCCTCTGTGATATCAGAACAAGATTTTGGAAATTTTGAATTTGAAAGCAACATTTTTTAAAAATGCTAAAAATTGTCACAATTCAGTTGGCGATTTTGGAAAATTGGCAGAAATTTTCGAAGAAATGAAGCCGAAATCCACAAAAAAAAAGTAACCACGTGTCGAAGGTGGACGAAAAATGGTCGAAAATTTCATAATGTGTTAAAGTATTAAAAAATGAGACTTTGGAAATGTTGCCTAAAAATCAAGAAAAAATGTCTAATTAGGGAGCGTTTTTTTAAGTCTGGAGATATGTTTTAACAAGAATCCAAAACCACTCTTATGAGAATAGGGTTGGAAAAAACAAGTTAAAAGTGCGAGCGCAGCGAGCACGTTTAGGTGCAACTAAAAGAAATATTTATTGATATTCCTGAGAAGCTATTTTATCAAAAACACATTTAGGTGTTATTCAAAATTACAAGTCGGAATTTTTTTTAAGAAGCAGGAAAAATCCCAGGAACCTAAAGTTACTCGCTGTGTTCGCATTTTAAAGATGTTTCTTTTTTAACAAAATTTGGATTTTTAAAAGGGCAAATTTATACAATATTTTAATTGAAATTAAGCTAATCACGCATTTGACGAGGTGTTTAGTGATGTCTGATTGGCGTAGAGTCGGCCACGTGGTACTTTAACGCCATGTTAAACATGTTTTAAGTTTCATGTTGTGAAAAAAAGTCTAGATATATTAAAACAAAAAGGCAAAATGTAAGCCAGCCCACCCGCCCTATCTCAATTGTGACGATTTTTTTTATTCGCTGTGAATCAAACGGGCGGAGCTTAACTGCAAAATACTTGAATACTTTACAAGAAATTAAAAACATGTTTTTGAGTATCGTGTTCTTCAAAGAACACTAGATATGTTTAGAAAAAAAGGCCAAATACAAACCCCGCCCACCCACCCCATCTCAATTGTGATGATTTTTTTCTTAGAAACTCAAAACACGTGTACAGTGGAAAAAAAGAAGTTTTGAAAAACTTCTCAAAAAAATTGAGGGAAACAGATTTTGAAATGTTAATTCCAAAATAATTGTCCCTGAGAAGCTAAATTAAAAAAATATATTTCTCGTGTACGATACCACTTTAAAGTTGGGGAAAGTCTAAATTGAAAAATATAGAAAATTTAATTAAAAATTGCCCAAAAAGACAAGATTTTGGAAACTTTAAATTTGAAAGTAAGATTTTTTAAAAATGCTAAAAATTATCACAATTCAGTTGGCGATTTTGGAAAAACGGCAGAAATTTTCGAAGAAACGAAGCCGAAATAACTTCTGGATGTCAAAATCCACCAAAAAAATAACCACGTGTCGAAAGTGGACGAAAAATAGTCGAAAATTTCATAAGGTATTAAAGTATTAAAAAATGCGACTTTGGAAATGTTGTGTTTTTTAAGTCTGGAGATTTATGTCAACAATAGAATCCAAAAACACTCTTATGAGAATAGGGTTGAAAAAAATTGGATAACCAAATATATTTTGACCAAAGATTTATGATGCTCTTTATAGCCTTAAAACATCTGCAACATTTCAAAACATTCGGGTTAGCAGATTCAAAATTAAATTGCAAAATGTTGTTTTATAAATTTGATTTTTTTTTTCTAAAAATCTGGACGTTTCGGGTATAAACTCAATTCGGAGTCGTAAACTACATGTGTAGGACTATGTTATTTTATACAATTTAAAACCCATTTACTATGTACAATTTTGAAGTGACGTCATCGCGTTTGTGGTGGGGATGACTACACAAATTTTGGTTGGCGTTTTTGCTAATATAAGTAAAAAATTTCACAACAATCGGTCCAGTACTTTCGGAGATTATCTATCTAATAAAAATCCGGGACGGCAGACAGACGGACAGACAGACGGAAATGGGAGACCTATTTCTTCGTCTTCTAGGGGTCATGAAAGATCGAGAAAACGTAAAAGTCTGAGATCTCCACAAACTAAGTCGAAAAATAAAGCACCTTTGTGATCTCAGAACAGGATTTTGGAAATGTTGAATTTGAAAGTAAAATTTTTTGAAAATGCTAGAAATTGTCACAATTCAGTCGGCGATTTTGGAAAAACGGCAGAAATTTTCGAAGAAATGAAGCCGAAATAACTTCTGGATGTCGAAACCCACAAAAAAAATAACCACGTGTCGCAGGAAAATTTCAGAAGGTATTAATAATAATAATAATAATAATAGTAATCTTTATTTGTCCAACAGTAACCTATTATAGGACAAACATATAACAAAAATATAACATCTATTTAAACAAACAAGAAGGTATTAAAGTATTAAAAGACTCCAAAAACACTTTTAGGAGAATAGGGTTGGAAAAACAAGTTAAAAGTGCGAGCGCAGCGAGCACGTTCAGGTGCAATTAAAAGAACTATTTATTGATATCCATGAGAAGCTAAATTATCAAAAACGAAACGGAGGACCTATTTTTTCGTATTCTAGGAGTCACGGCACGTCATGAATTGACAAAATAACAACACGCTATACACATAACTAAAAGCACTCGTAATTTTCGAGCAAAAAAGGTAGTATTGTGTTTGGAAATAGAACGTTGGCGGCGGTAGCGCGGAGGCGGTAAAAGATTTTTGGCTCTATTTTTACACACTACTAAACTTGGCTTCAACTGCAAACCGACATACCAACTCATAATGAACCGAATCTTTCAGGAAGGCCGCAGATTTTTGGTTTTTTGGCCGGGGTGCCTCAAGAATCCGCCGAAATCTGTTGCTGTTGCACGAATTTACAAACGATTCGGTAAAGTAATATTCGGAGGAGTGGACTGTCAACACGGCGAAGTGTGTCATTGGCAAATTATTGATGATGTCATATTTAAAGACATCGTAGCCAAAATTGCTTCTAACGGACCGAGTACTCTTAATATATACAGTGATGTAGGAAAAAGCGGTTGACTGAAATTCCAGTCTGTTGCGTCGAAAGAATTCGTATAATTACTCCTATTTAAATTATACCGTTGTAAATACGCATCACTCCTCGCCCGAATAATAGAAAATTTGAAAGCACTCTCGTCCGACGTTTTTCCTCGACTTTCGTCACTCATTCCGAAAATCGGTGAAAACCTCACCGTCACACCGTGTTTTGTAACAGTTACCTAACCAATATTTAATTCAAATGCTATTTTAATGAAGCGTGCATCTGGAGACACAAGACAATGACTTCACTATGTGCATACATTACTAATCCGAGTTTCCTGATAGTTCGAGCGTTTTCAGGTAAAAAACCGCAATGCATTGTCACGCACGACTGCGTTCGAAACGTCGGAGTCTTCTGCCACGCCGTCCACGGGGTTGGGGGCAGCGTTGCCCAACGCCGCCTCCGGGATCACGTTGCGGGCAAATGTCAGGTGTAAAAACAGAGTTGTAATTATGGACCGCCTCCGGGTGTAGTTGGTCCAGTATGCTAATACGCTTTGGGAACCGTTCTGTCTTGTGACACGATTCGAACGGGCCTCCATACTTCCCCGATTTGACACACTGAGAAAACGTCTTGACGCGTCCGGGGGCGGCGGAAAGCCAGCGCGCTTTTCGGCCCGCAACGCGAACTTTCTCGCGAAAATGACACTGAGCGCTCGCACCTTCTATGGCCAAGGATTGGGTGACTAAGCGGCGGTTTCCAGAGGGGCCACGGGGGCTGTCGGGCCAGCGGGGCTGCTGGAAAATCGCGCCGAGTTTTCACTGTGACGTGGCGCGAGCACGGGGGGAATTTTCCGAGTTGCGAAATCGTCGCGGCGGGTTTTCCGGGGGCAGAGCGCTGGGGTTGGGGCCGATTGGCGAAAAACCACTTTATTGTTTTCGACTGATAATATAATAGGTTAATAAGTCATCTGAATATGGCGACTTATCTAACTGGACGGCAACAGATTGTAGGCTCGGGGACGGATAAAAACAATCGTAAATTAAACTCACCTGGTTTTTTATGAAGTCGTATATTGCACGAACTGCGGAATCCGTTAATTTCACAAAAATTAAGTCTTTATTTTCACCAAAATTTTGCTGAGAAGATAACCCATACTGAACACCTGGACAGAGAGTCGCCATTTCTGTCCAGTGCAGTCCACTCTGTCGCACTTCAGAACCAGCTGACGTTTGACGATCAATGGCGGCACCGTGTTCATTAATGTCAAGATAACACTTTGTCGAAGTAAAGACACCTTCCGGTCGATGCAATGAGGCTGATAAATCACAGAATAAATAAATAAGGCGATATTAACAACCAAACGTTGTGAAATTCTAACTAAAATGAAACTAAGTCAATCTGAACAGAGGGCGCCACTGACTACACAGTCGTTCTGTCAACTGTATCAAAATGGTGTGCACCTGCGCTAGATTTCCACGAAATTTAAACACTAAATTGTGTGAAATATATTTTAGACGTTTTCTAATAGTTTATGGTAAGTGATTTTTTACTATTTGTTAATCGTTTTACCCGACAGCGCCGCTACCGGTCACACTAATTTCGTTTGAAATTTTCAATAATGAATTAATGACGTCATAATTAGTACACATTCTAAAGTGTTTTCACACAAATCTGCATCAAATGAATGCACTTTAATAGTTACTTATTGAAAAGTATGGAAGTACTTTTTACTTTAATATTAGTAATTTTCGTGTTTATGCAACCCTGAATACACTCATACACGACTATTATTCGTTCACGGTCTTTATATTATTATTATTATTATTATTATTATTATGATTACGCCTCTTAACAGGCTGAGTGCCCAATAACGAAGAGGCGAGAAAAAAAAAAGAAGAAAAGAAAAAAAAAATAAAAAATTGAAAAAAGAAAAAATTGAAGAATTGAAATTATTTGAAGGTGAATATATCTAAAAAAAAGAGATTAAATAAAAAGATGAATCATACCAAAAATATTCTAGAACAAAATACAACAATTAGTGCGGATCAGTTATTTCGCAAATTTCTTTTATTTCTTAATTCCTGTTTTTAGCTCTCTCAGTTTGCAATTAAATATATCAATGTTACATTGAGATTTTTTATAGCTTTCTAGCATTTGATAAAACGGGGACGCTTTCATCACGTTAGATCTAGGAAATTTTTGCTCAAATAAGAAGTAATTTCTTACATTCATAGTAGGTGTTCTTAGTCCAATCATAGCAATCAAATCTTCACATTTAATTGTGTAACTAATTATATTATGCAACATTATAATGTAGGCATTGCTTCTTCTAGACAATAAGCTCTTGACATTGAGACGTTCATACAGAGTTTGATTCGGCACTCCTCTAAGAGGATATAAGCCGTCAATTATATACAGCATATATTTTAAAGCACGGCACTGAATTCTCTCTAGTGTGCTGATATGAGCCTGATAAATAGGACTCCAAACCACAGAACAGTACTCAAGTCGGGAGCGGACATAAGCAAAATACAACAATTTCACAATGTGAACTTCTTGAAATTCTTTGGTATTGCGGATGACAAATCCCAGACATTTGTTAGCTGAGTCCTCTATTATCCTGATGTGTTCAACAAAACTAAGTTTTGAGTCAAATGTAACTCCAAGATCTCGAATGAATTCAGGTCGTTTTAAATCAACTCCTTGCAAACTATAATTGAAACTAATTAGGGATAACTTTCTGGAGTACGTTTTAATACAACATTTATCCTTGCTCAACGGCATTTGGTTGGTGATGGACCACTCATTTATTAAATCTAAATTCCGCTGAAGAACATGGCAATCGTCAGGAGATTTAATTTCAAGAAATATCTTCAGGTCATCCGCATATAATAGGCATTCTATATTGACCTGTTTTACTATGTCGTTAACATATATGTTAAAAAACAAAGGACCCAAAACCGAACCCTGTGGAACACCCGATATTTGAATAAACCTGTCAGATGAATGACCGTTGTAAAATACATATTGGTACCTATCTGAGAGATATGAATCGAAAAGAAGAATTAGTGATTTGGAAAAACCAAAACTCATCATCTTATGCAGCAACAACTCATGACTAATACGGTCGAACGCCTTTGAAAAATCGACATAAACGCAGTCGACCTGTCCTCCCCTATCAAGACGATCTGCTAGAAACTGTGTTTTTAAGAACAAATTTGTAACTGTCGATCTGCCCTTAACAAAACCGTGCTGCCGCGGAGATAGGTAGTTAGCAACATGTGAGTACATACGGGAATGCAGGACAATCTCAAAAACCTTGGCAAAATTATTTATCAATGTAATGGGTCGATAGTTAGTGATTTCCTGTCTCCTGCCTGATTTGTGAATTGGGACAATTCGTGATTCTTTCCAGATAGTCGGAAATATTGACTGCTTTATTATTAAATTGTAGATCACAGACAATGGCTTGGACAAAATAGCAGCACAATCCTTAACCAAAAAAGAAGGAACAGCATCCGGACCTGCTGTCACTGTAGGCTTCAGTTGTCTTAACGCGTTATATACCTCACTTTCAGTTATTTGTTTAATGTCAAAGGTGTTAATATTGTCCAGAATAAATTCAAATGAATTTGACTGATTTGACTTTACAGACAGCGATTGTCTGAAATGTTTCGAAAATCCATTGACAATGTCCTGTGGAGAAGATAGCTCAACATTTTCATAATACATAGTAGAAGGAATACCCGACTGCATTTTTTTGTTTTTTATAAAGGCCCAGAATTTCTTTGGATCAGTCCTAATCTCTGAAGTCATTTTTTTTAAGCAGGGTTGGCCATGAAAATCTAGTGAGTTTGTTGGTATTCGATGCAGAAGAATAAAAATTCCCTGCACTTACTTTTTTTTTCTAGTATGCTTTGAACAATACTCAAAAACATCTTTTCACTACAAGAAACTTAGAACATGGTTAAAATGGTACATTTTTGCAAGGAAATATGGATTTTGCAATCATGGGGCGGAGCCTAACTGCAAAATCGATAGTTCCTTATACAAATTTTCCATTTTAAACATGTTCAAAGTTACATGTTGTGAAAAGAAGTCTACACATGTTAAAACAAAAAGACAAAATGTAAGCCCGCCCACCCGCCCTGTCTCAATTGTAATGATTTTTTTAATTCGCCGTGAACCAAGGGGGTGGAGCTTAACTGCAAAATACTTGAATACTTTACAAAAAATGAAAAACATGTCAAATTCAGTTTTTTTTTAAATCAGAAAAAATATATTACAACCGGCGATTCTGAAAAAATTGTGGCAGTTTTCGAAGAAATGAGGGCTAAAGTGACTTCTGGATGTCGAAATGAACAAGAAAATGTCTTTCGTTAAATTCCGAAGGTGATTCTAAAATCTCAAAATTCCCATTGAAAAATTTTGGATTAGAAAAAGTTGTGTAAAAATCCTCGAAAAATTCAGGGATGTACACGAAATGTTCCTATAGTTAAGTTTCTAAGGTGGCCGAAAAGCTCCGAATTTTTGAAAAATTTTGGCTTTGAAAAATATACTCAAATAATTCTGGAAAATATATTTCGATGTCTTGATTCCAAAAATCTATCATTTCTAGTCTTTGGACAGGATTTTAGAAATATTCGTCTTAAAATTTAGATTTTTATAAAAACAATAAAATCGTCATATTTCAACTGGCGATTCTGGAAAAATGGTAGAAGTTGATGAAGATTTGAGACCGAAAGTAACTTCTGAGTCTTTAGTTAAGTCCAGAAGGTGGTGGCAAAATTTCAAAAATTCAACCGACAAATTTTGGTTTTGAAAAAGTTGTGTAAAACTCCTCGAAAAATATCAGGTAGAGAGATTCCGAAATGGTCATTACAAAAATATAGTATTTTTATGGTCTCGGTACAAGTTCCTAGAAATATTCAGTATGAAACGGATTTTTTTTTTAATTCCAAAAGACTCCCATATTCCTGACGATTCTGGAAAATGATAGAAGTTGACGAAGAATTGAGACCGAACGTAATTTCCAGAGGTCCAAATTAACAAGCAATTGTTTTTAGTTAAGTTTCGAAGGTCGCCGAAAAATTTTGAAAAATTTTGGATTTTTGAAAAAGTCTGCCCAAAATATTCAAATAAATTTTGGGGAATAGATTTCGATCTGCTGATTCCAAAAATGTATCGTTCCTATAGTCTACGGGCATGATTTTAGAACTATTCGGTTTAAAATCAAATTTTTTAAAAAATTGTCATATTTCAATTGGCGATTCTGGAAATATGATAGGAGTTACTAAAGAAGTGGGGCCGAAAAACTTCTGGAGGTCGAAATGTGCAAGAAAATGTCTTTGGTTAAGTTTGGAAGATGAAATGCAAGGCCGCCCACCCACCCTATCTCATTTGTGATAATTTTTTTATTCGCCGTGAACGAAGAGAGTGGAGCCTGACCGCCTTACCTTGAGTATCGTGTTGTTCAAAGAATATTATGCACGTTAAAAAAAAAGGGAAAATATAAACCCCACCCACCCACCCCATCTCAATTTTGATGATGTTTTGTCACTAGAAACTTAAAAGGCGGTTACAATGGTAAATTTTTCTAAGAAAATATGGATTTTGCACTTAAGCCGAATGAAAACTTCATTACTATTTAGATCAGGGCAGGTATGATGGGTGGGGCTTAATCTTTGGCTTTAATTTTTTCTTAATATACATAGTATTCTTTGAACGACACGATACTGTAAAACGTGTTTTTAATTTCTCGCCGAGAAATAAGGATTTTGCAGTGAAACTCTGCCCTCTTGGCTCACGACCAATAAAAAAATCACCAGAATTGGGATAGGGTGGGTGGGTAGGGCCTATATTTTGCCTTTTTTTAATATACATAGCCATCTTTTCACTACAAGAAACTTAGAACATGGTTAAAATGGTACATTTTTGCAAGGAAATATGGATTTTGCAATCATGGGGCGCAGCCTAACTGCAAAATCGATAGTGCCTTATACAAATTTTCCTTTTTTAAACATGTTTTAAGTTTCATGTTGTGAAAAGAAGTGTACACATATTAAAACAAAAAGACAAAAGGTAAGCCCGCCCACCCACCCTATCTCAATTGTGATGATTTTTTTCATTCGTCGTGAGAATTAAGGGGGTGGAGCTTAACTGCAAAATACTTGAATACTTTACAAGAAATGAAAAACATGTTTTTGAGTATTGTGTTGTTGAAATAATACTATGCGTATTAAAGAAAAAAAGAATAAATATAAAAATTTCGAGATTTCCATTGAAAAATTTTGGTTT